CAGAGGGAAGGCGTTTAGCACAGGTTCATTCACAGAACAAATGCATAACACAAGGGTGCTGTTGGCGTTGCTGTTAGCATTTTATTACCTGCAACTCCAAGCCAAGTGCTCACTTGAGCAATCCAAAAGGAACAGAGGACTTGGGATAAAGATAGTAACTGAATTTAAGTTAAAAGAACAGTAACTTTGGAATCTTGGCACTCCTAATACACTTCCTAATCAACGCTCTTAACAATCTACCCTCACCCCCATCATCGTGGGGAAACCGAGGCAGCCAGGGAGTTGCCCAAGGTGGGTTCTGAGTTTACTGCTGATTACATCAGACCATGTTCCTTGTTCCAAAGTTCCTTCCGTTTGATCTTGCCAGTGACGGTTTTGGGCAGCTCTGGGACAAACTCCACCTGGTTGAGAGAGAAAGCAAATCCATTCTGACTCAGTCCGGCTGTCGTTTCCTACCAATTCCCGCACTCCCCTCCTGTGCCCCTTCACAGTCCCCCACACAGGCTGACACTATGTGGTGGCCCTAATGGGGTTGATTGATCAAGTATTTGAGGTTCTTCTTCTGACCCCTGAAGTTGGGTGCAGCCATGTGACTTACTTCAACCAATGTAATGTGAGTGGAAGTGAAGCGTGTCACCTCCAGGTCACTCAGCCTGGCCATCCTCTCCTCCGTTTCTAACAGCACCTGGCAGGAATCTAGATGGTGGCTGCTCCTTCATCCTGGTCTCATGGTGAGGAAATGGGACACTGAGGTTCCAGGAGAGACCTCACTGGTACACACCATCTCTTCTACTCCCTACAAAGCAGCCTAGCCAGAAGCATGCTCTTCAGAAGCATGAACTTTGTTGTGAGACACACACAGGTCTGAGATCCAGCTCTGCCTGTTATTACCTGTAAGCTCAGGCAGTTTACTTTGAGTCTCTGAGCCTCAGTTTTGTCTCTGTAAAATGAGCTGCTTATACCATCTCAGGTTGTGGAGAGGATTAAATAAAATAATATTACATTGAGTCCAGGACTGGGCACACGTAGTAAGTGCTCAGTAAACATTAGCCACGTAGCTTTGTAATATGCACTGTTGTGGAGAGGATTAAATAAAATAATATTACATTGAGTCCAGGACTGGGCACACGTAGTAAGTGCTCAGTAAACATTAGCCACGTAGCTTCGTAATATGCACTGATTGTAAACATTCAGACAATGCAGCAAAGTACTACGAAGGAAGAAAATGTTAACTTTTGACATTTATGTATCCCTTCACACTTTATTTTTAAACAAATGGAATACTATTATGTATGTTCTCTTAATACCTACTTTTATCTTAATAATATATGTTGAGATATTTTTCTCAAAAATAAAAAATCTGTACTATGATTTCAAATTACAGGATAATAATCAATATCATAAATAACTTAATCATTTCTCTATTGTTCAACCTTTTTGTAGGTTGCACACAGCACTTAATACAAATGAATTAACATAAACATACAAAATGTATTGTGTGTTATAAGGATAAATATCATCCTGCTAATTTTTGTTTGTTATATGTGTGTTTATATGTATTGGCTTGAAAATTGAACGTATTTCTCACTGTGGATCATTCATAGTTTGGATGTGTCTTCCCCAAAACTCATGTGGAAATCTGATGCCCAGTGTGGCAGTGTTGGGAGCTGTTTTGAGTCATGGGGTGGATCCCTTATGAATGGATTAATGCTCTCCCTTGGGGTTGGGGGTAGAGAGTGAGATCTTGCTCTGTTAGTTCCTGTGAGAGCTGGTTGTTTAAAAGACCCTGGCACTTCCCCTCTCGTTCTCTTGCTTCCTCTCGCCATGTGATCTGCTTGTACCCGCCGCTGCCGGCTGCTTTCCGCCACGATTAGAAGCAGCCTGAGGCCTGTGCCAGATGTAGCTGTCCCAGAATCATGAGCCAAATAAACCTTTGTTCTTTATAAATTACCCAGTCTCAGGTATTCTGTTATAGCAACACAAAACCAGACTATGTTTATGATCATGTTTTAAAAAGTTTGGAAGTAGCTAATTTAAATTTCTTTTTCAGATTTTGCAAGATTATAAGTAGTTTTTTTTAATATCTTTGGACACTTGTCTGATTTTTTCTTTAAGTTAATGTGCCAGCAATGGATTTATGTGGGTTTCTGACACAGGATAGAGGCTCCCATCTGATTGATTAGGTGGGCTCTGCTCCACCCCTACCCGAATTGCTTCTTCTGGGGAGGCAGTGCAGTGCTGTTGGCTGCCTGGCTGCCCCCTCCAGGGCCACCCTGTGAGACATGGGGCAGCCGAGCACCAGGCACCGCTTATGGGGACCAGACCCCATCCATCTGCCCTCACTCACCTTCCTTGGGTACTTGTATGGGGCTGTCACTGACTTCACGTGCTCCTGCAGCTCCTTGATGAGCTGGTCCCGGTCATGAAACATGAACTCTGGGGTCAGGACAATAAATGCCTTCACCACCTGCAGAACGGAAACAGAGACTCACAGTGAATGCCAACCTGTTATATGGTTAAAAAGGAAATGAATGGGAAGGTGAGTTGACACTTGAGCCTATCGTAGTTAAGAGCACAGGGCCTTTGGAAAAGGACAGAACCAGTTCAAATGGGGGAAAGTTCAAATCCCTATACTTCTAATTTCCACTCTATGCCTTGGAAAATTTCTTAACTTCTCTTGATCTCATTTCCTTCTTTGTGAATTGGGGAAAATGAAGGGTTGCTCCTTATAGTGTTTCTGTGAAGATTCTATGAGATAATACATAAAAAATATCTGGTTAATTTAAATTTATTATTATTCCCATTACCGTTATTAATTCATCATCACTTTTATTATTATAGTATATACAGTTCTGTGCCTGGAACCCAGTGAGCATTTAATAAGCGTTGGTAATTTATTATTTTTACATTAGCAATTATATCCCCGTAGAAGCTTCTCAGTAAACACTTGCTGTATGAATGAATGTGGGCTCTGGGGACACGTTGCTTCGATTCCTATTCTGGCTGTACCCCTTATTAGTTGTGCGGTGAGAGCAAGTTACTTAGCCTCTTTCTGCTTTTCTTATCTATAAAGAGAATATAATAACAGTTCTTAGATTATATATGTGACAGTTAGATGATTCTGCACATAGTACGTGCTCACTCAGTATTACACCGATCATTTTCAGAGCTATAGATGAGGCCGCAGTGCCACCTGGTGACCACACGGTGTAAGTGCACATGCACACCTGCTCTATCCTCCCTCCACCCTAGGTCCGAGGCTGCGTAGATAAGGCCTTCCCAGTGCCCACGCAGACACACGACCTCCGTGTTCTCCTCACCTCCCCTCGAGTTGGGTGCGGGCTGCCCACCACGGCCGACTCGGCCACCGCCGGGTGCTCCGCCAAGGCGCTCTCCACCTCCACCGGCCCAATGCGGTACCTGGAGGATCAGATGCCAGGGCTGGGGTGAACCAGGTCCTCAGTTCTCACACACTGGAGGGTCATGTCTTCCCTCGGCACGAAGGGTAAAGGTCATAGGGAACCAGAGACTCGTGACCTGACTGTGTTATGGGCCCAAATGCGAAGCCCTGGACGCTCCCTGCTGAGAAACACAAGGCGCAGATGCTCCCCGGGGCGTCTCATCTCCTGCCTCTGCGGAAGGAGGGGGGCCAATGCTTTGCCCTCCCAGAGCTCTGGGGGCCTGGCCCAAGCAGCTTCCCCCACCACCAAATGTCTTGGAAGCCTCGAACTTTCTCTTAAATATTCGTGCAAATTCTGCATCCTATTCCCCATTGTATCATCATGTTTACTTTATTTGATTTCATTGTTTTGGCTTTCATTGTATATATTTAAGGTGTATCACATGATGTTTTGATATATACACTTAGTGAAATGGTTACTGCAGTCAGGCAAAGTAACATGCATCACAGAATTACCTTTTCTGTGTCTATGCTAAGAGCATTTAAAATCTACTCTTAGCAAATTTCCAGTATATGATATATATAAAGATATGGATATATAGATGAGAGAGGTCAACATGTTTCAGAAACAAAAGGCTCAATTTCTTTGAAATATCCAGAAGAAATTGTTACTCTAGTTAATATGTCTTTAAAAAAAAATCATGTAGGAGTTAGGGACACAGGCTCAGGGTATTCTTACCTTGGTTCAAATCTGGATACCACCCTGTACTATCTTTGAGACTTTAGGCAAAGTTTTCCACTGGTCGGTGACCCAGTGTCCTCATCGGTAAAACAGGAATAATAATCGAATCTCCCTTCCCACATTGAGAGTTGGGTTATACAAAGCACCAAGGAGAGTGTTTTCACATAGTAAATGCTCCATAAAAGTTAGTTACTATTATTTTGTTTCTCCTTTGACATCTTGTGCTGCATTAGAGGAGAACAGACATAAAATAAGCTCCTCCAGCCTATGGGGACCAAAGTAAAGTCTCTCTTTCCAGTCTCACCCCCCACTCTCTTTAAATTGCACTATGTCTTATCATGGTTCTCCTTCCAGACCCTGTTGAATTTCGTTCTGATGGATTCCTCTGGACATAGTGGTTGGGGGCAGTGCATAGATGCCCCGAATCAGGACACCATGGACATGGCTCTGTTCCCAGTTAAGCTGAGGGTCCCATCAGAATGTCTGGGTAAACAAAATCCCGCAGGATATGTGAGGGTGACAAGAGCCAGCCCAGAGTCAGCCACACCTACCCAGAGGCATTTATGATGTCATCATTCCTCCCCAGGAACCAAATGTAGCCCTCTGAATCAATGGTTGCTCTGTCCCCGGTGTTGTAAAAGTCCCCACATTCCACTTCGGCTGTCTTCTCTGGGTTACCCTGCAAAGAGAACAGAACCCTTTTGTTGAAGGCAGTGAGTTTAAAGATGATGAGCTACAATCTCGGGTGCAATCCGGGTCTGAATTCTACCTTGGACTCTACCACGTACCTGGATATGCTTTGTAATCTCTTCAATTCTGTTTTCATTACAATGCAAGCTAGTGCTCAGTTAGCAAATGTTAATAGGCCAATTTTATGACAAATTTTAAAAATAACAACTCACTCCACTAGAATAAAATTTCCATTATAGCGTGAATTCTGTTTAATTTGTTCACTGCTACAAGCTCAGCATTCACACAGTGCCCGAATGAATGAATTCATTCACTGAATGAATTTTCTTCCCAGAATAGTATCTCCTTTGAACTTCACAGACAGCCTATGAGGCTTGTATTTTTTTAAGTAAACTTTTCATTTTAAGTTAATTTTAGATGTGCATGCAGTTATAAGAAATAATACAGAGTGATCCCATGTACCATTTACCTAGTTTCCCACAGTAGTAGGTAATGTCTTGCAAAACTATAGTTCAATATCACAATCAGGATATGGAAATTGATAGAATCAACCGATCTTACTCAGATTTCCTGTTTTACTTGTGTATGTGTGTGTGAGGATATTTAGTTATATGCAATTTTATCACGTGTGTAGGTGTGTGGATTCACCACCACAGTGAAGTTACTGAACAGGCCCGTCATCAGGAGAATCTCTTATATACCCACACCTACTTTATTCTGTCTCACTCCTCTCTCTCCATCCCAACCCCCTTGGCAATGACTAATCTGTCCTCTCTTTTAATAATTTTGTTGTTTCAAGAACGTTACATAAATGGAATCATATAGTATGTAACCTTTTGGGACTGGCTTTTAAAAAAAATTTCTCAGTATATTTCTCTGGAAATTCATCCAGGTTGTTGGCATGCATCCATAGTTTGATCATTTTTATTGCTGAAGTGTTCCATGTTATGGATTACTTCAGTTTTTTAAAAATCATTCATCCACTGAAGGGCATCTGGGTTGTTTCCAGTTTTTGGCTATTGTGAGTGTGCTAAGAACATTTGTGTTCATGCTTTTGTGTGAGGCTGGCATTTTTTTGTGACCCGTTTCACATAAGAGGAAACTGGTGCTCAGAGAGGCACAGTAATTTGCTCAAAGTCACCCAGCTGGTCAGTGAGAGGGTTGGTATTTTAATTTAATTCTTGCTTCACAGCCTATTCACTTGATCCCTAAATATAATCCCTCTTGTGCAACATAAAATGATTTCAAGAGGTACCTGAAAAAACATTTTAAAATCATTGAATCCCATCCCTTTTTGGATTCATTTCCAATTATTCTGATTATGTCAAGGAGACTCCTGGTTCGGTTGCTGACATGTTTGTAAAAGCTCTGGAAGTACCAAGAGGAAGATAAGCTTCAGGGTCAGAGCTTTCAGCAGGAAGAACTTTTTAAAAACATAGTTATGTTTATAATTGCCTTCTGT